AATAATAATAATAATAATAATAATAATGTTTTTTTTTATCAATCTAAGCTGTTTTAATTTATTTAGTTGAGTTTAAATTCAGCATTTATACATAATTTAATCGGTTTTAAAATAATCTCTGAGTTGCTTTGAATTCATCAGGATTATTAAGATTATATTTGATAAATTGAAACATTAATTCATGTTTATTTTTTTGTGGTTCTGATTCTGATGAAACCGACAGCTGTTCGATTCGCGGATCCAAATGTTCCGCAGGTTTATTTTTCATATAAATAATCATAAAGATGTTCAAAGAGTAAAACAGACTTTTAGCTAGATTTCATTTTAATCTAAATAAATATGAACATATTTTACAGATTGAGGAGGCAGAGAGAATAAAAACGTTTCATAATTATAACGTAAACATTTGGTGACGTCACCTTCCTCCTTTACTGTAATTCAATATTCTGAACCGGTTCGGTTTTATCCTCTATGAAATGAACATCAATGTTGGACCAGCGCAGCGCGCTAACACGCAGAGAGCCACGCACACCTGCTAACCTAGACACGCAGGAATGTTCGCAGATGTGTGTGTGTGTGTGTGTGTGTGTGTGTGTGTCATTACAGTAAAAAGACCTTTAAGCAGATACCTAACTCTGATTATTTCCATGTTTCTACATTAATATGTTTTTATTGTTCTGATTTAATATTACAATTTTATTATTATGTTTTAAATTCATAATTAACATTAAAACATGAATTTCTGTCCTGTTTTTCTGCAGTGGACAGATGATTTCATTTTCCCATATTTCATGTCTCTAACTCTTCCTGTTTGTCGGGAGTATTTCTCACATGTTCTCTCATGAATCCTCTCCGTGTTTTCATTTTTTTTTTCTGAGGGACTCGAACCGACAACCCTGAAGAAGCCTCCGCGGCCTCCTGTGGAGGAATTATCTGCGTCTTTATGGATTTATGGGAGATTTATTGTTTTACGCTGATGAGTATTTAGTTTAGTGTGGCGCTGTAAAGCCGCGTAAAGCTTCACTTTTCATCTTTTCAAGTGTTTGATTGGAGCTTTAATGATGTTTAAACTTCTGCCTCAGATCATCGCTGCGCCTCCGCGCGCTACTCCTCCGCGTTCATTTATTGTTTATTTACAAACATTTACGCTTTATTTATCAACAAAAACTGCTTTCAGAAATATTGTAGTTTTTAATTGGTTCCATTTTAAAGGTCCAAATAATTGATTTCATTTTTGGTGGTTTTTTGGTCTATTTATTTTATTTATGTAGGCAATTATTGATGACTTAGACATTATTATTATTATTATTATTATTATTATTATTATTATTATTATTATTGTTGTTGTTATTAATGATAAACGAGTCAG